GATTTTCAAACCCTTTTCTTCTTGTTTTTCAAATTATGAACTTGACTCATAAATTGATGAAGTAAAACCTTCAAATCTTTAAAAATAAATGACGCATGTGTAACTCAACTTCCAAATTCAACATAGGTAACAAAAATCAAGCTTAATTTGAAGAAACATTACATAATTATGCATGCATGTATGTTGTAACAACCCCGATCCGTTATTGACTAATACTGCATGATTAAGAATGCCTAATGAGTAATTAAGAAGAAATCTCGAGTTAATTGCATGTGTTATATGATATTTGGGTTTATATCTGTCTGCCGTAGAAATTTTGTCTGTGCTTTTGTTCTGTTCTGCGAATTGAAGGCTTTATCGGCTACAGAATACGAAATTGACTAAGATTATGTGTTATTTAGGATTTTTAGAGAATTATGGTAGATTCAATTGAAATTCAATTCGGAATAAAATAATTAGAATAAAATAATGTAAATTAATTAACTTAAGCCAAGAGTTAAATTAAGTCCCTTAATTAGCCTATATGAGGCTTACACAACACTTTAGAATCATCTCATCTTCACCATTTTGAGCTCTTACACGTGAGAGAGAAAGAGAGAAGGAAGGAATGGAGATCAAATAAGAGGTATAGCGATCCCGGTTGTCCCTTTACTGTTCAGTTATGTTCCGGACTCAGTTCCGTGAAGTTGGTAGTTGTATCTATCTTGTTGTCATCCTTAAATTCCGTTTGTTTGAATTATAGGATGTGTTGGGCTTGTTTCGAACAGGTGGGTTGAACCTTGGTCTGAAATCTTGTTGCCGGGTTTTTGGTCGTCCCGCTCGAGCGGGTCATGTTGCACTCGAGAGGATATTGCACACTCCCAGTTTTTCGTGTCCCTGCAAAACTTCTGCAGGTGTGATTTTTACGCTCGAGCTGGTTTCTTTACGCTCGAGCGGTGGTGCTCGAGCGGGTACTCTGGCGCTCGAGCGGGTAGTACCTTTTCGGTGTAAGTTCTGGGAGGGAGAAATCTACGCTCGAGCGGACTGGTTTTCGCGCTCAAGCGGATTTACTTTACTCTTGTGTTTTGGCGCTCGAGCGGGCCTTTTTGCGCTCGAGCGGACCTAGTTTTTGTTCTTGACGCTCGAGCGTTGTGTTTTCCGCTCGAGCGGGAATGTCGTATATCAGTTGGCAGCTGGGCATTTTAAATTCACTTTTTCTCATTCTTTCTCTCTCTTACTTTTTTGAAAGAGCCACGTGAGAGCTTCTCTCTCTAGAACCTTGCCTTCTCTCTAGGTATTGATCTAGCAAGAGTTGTTTCCTCACCTTTGGCCTTTACAAAAGAGTTGTTGATCGTCGAGGGCTATCTTTTGATCCGAGAAACTCGTGGTTTGGAGCAACTTCGTCTTCACCATCTTCTTCGTTGGGTGTCATCTTTTGAGGTAGGGGTTCCTACTCACTCTTATGGTCTTTGACCTAGATTTTTAGTTGTTTTGATAGAGTGTTGAACTTAGGAAATTTTGGGACTTAGGGTTTCAAAATGTGTAAAAAGGGTTTTGTGACTTTGGGCTCATAACATGTATTTTGGGTTTCAAAGTGATGATATAGTTGTTGGTTGTTGATAGTGGGACCTTTGAGTTAATATTGGGAGTTGAGGGTAAAAGCCCTAAATTGTTGTTTAAAATTAATTGGTGAAATTAATTTGGGAAAATTGTAGTTATATGGAATTGAGGTGGAAATAATGAGCGCTCTAGCAGTCTGCACTATTTTTGAAAGTTTGACTAAGTGTTTCAAGTTACATTTTGGCATCTTCATTGCATCCCAGGCATTCCTAAGCCTTTAATTAAGACATAATAATGAGGACAAAGATTAGAAACACACCAAGTTAGAAAAGGAATGAGTTATGCATTTTTTCGGGCGTGTGTTTCAATGTGCATTTGTTATGCGTTTGTATATGTCATGAGCCATAGATTGTTTGACCCGACTGTTCTGACTCTTCTGTTATCAGAGCTATCTGTGAGTAACAACTTTGTAAAGCTACATTTGATTATAAGTAATTTATGAATGTTAAGATATGATTGTTTTTCTGAAATGCTATTTTGTGAATCATGAATGAATGTCCAATTTTCTGAAATGTATTTGTGATATCTTTAGTTCACATGGCCCTCGCCCGGGGGAAACAATACCGTGGCTTATGTTTATATGGCCCTCGCACGGGGGAAACAATACCGTGGCTTATGTTTATATGGCCCTCGCACGGGGGAAACAATACCGTGGCTTATGTTTATATGGCCCTCGCACGGGGGAAACAATACCGTGGCTTATGTTTATATGGCCCTCGCACGGGGGAAACAATACCGTGGCTTATGTTTATATGGCCCTCGCACGGGGGAAACAATACCGTGGCTTATGTTTATATGGCCCTCGCACGGGGGAAACAATACCGTGGCTTATGTTTATATGGCCCTCGCCCACGGAAATAATACCGTGGCTTATGATCATATGGCCCTTACCTGGGGAAAACAATACTGTGGTTTATGTTCACATGGCCCTCAGTTGGGAGAAATAATACCCTGGCTACTTGTGCACAAGATATGGACCTTTATGATGTGTTTGGTTGGGAGATTTGAAGAATGATTTGGAAAAGGAAATAGAAAAGCAAGGTGAAATATAAATAAAATATACCTACATTTCACCTAATTTCACATATATTTTTCCTTTCCTTTTCCAAATCCTCCAACCAAACACAACATTAGGGTTATCGGTACCAACTATGCATGTGGGTCTCAGGACCAATTTGATATGATAGCTAATGGATGTACCACATATAATTGCTTATGACTTCTGATAGGTACATGAATTTGAATATGTTTTTGATATGAATTATGATTTCTGAAATTGCTTGGACATTATTCATAAAACCTTTACTTTGTTGTTATTCACTGGGCTCCAACTCATTCTGGTATTTATGTATGTAGGTGATTAGGTGCGTGACCAGGCTTAAGTTGTTGCCTGGAGGTCAGTTTTGTCCAGCCAACCATAGTGCCTCTTGTGGAGGTTCCAAAACCTGCTTGTGGTCAATGTTTTGTGATCAAGAATTTCGTTTAAGTTTTCTTTTGGTTTTGTTTGTATGTTGGGCTAAGTCCCATTTTAGTTATCTGTAAGTGAAGTGGCGTAAGATTGCAGCATATATGATGTCACGTTTATGTAATTAAAGTTTAAAATTTTTGTCCCATGTATGTCTGCACAGCTCTTTGAACACTATATTGTATTATTTGCTTCCAATAGCCCATGTATCTTGTTTAATTTGTTCAAAGGCCTTTGGTAATCCTAGGATTACTGGCCGGTTACGAGGCTAAACCTATAGGGCAGGTTTGGGTCGTGACAGAGTGGTGTCAGAGCACGAGATATACCATACACAGGGGTCCATATGAGCTATAGGATGTCCTAGAAAATGAGTAAAGACATTACATCTGCATGTATGAGTATACGTGTGTGATATCAAGTGAACATATCTGAACCAATATGCATACCAATATACATTGACACTGAAATGAAATGAACTGAAATTGAACACTGTAAAGAATTATTTGCTTGCGTTTATGAGTGCTCTGTTTATCTATAACAAATGGAAAATCCAAGAAGCGATGGTACAGCTGAATCCTCTGAGGCCAGAATGAACCGAATGGCATGAATGCTTGAAGCTTTGACAGAAGCAATGATGAAACAACAAAGAAAACAACCTTTACCTCATCCGCCCCTTCGGTCCAAGTAGAACCGGTAAACAATGACATTATCAGCTTGACTCGGAAATTCAATAAGATAAAGCCACCGACTTTCTTGGGTGGAATTGCAACTTTAAAGGCTGAAACGTGGATGCTAGAAACTGAAAAGTTATTTAAAGTCTTTCCATGTACCAAGACTCAAAAAGTTTTGTTGGCCACCTACACCTTAAAGGACGAAGCCCGACGTTGGTGGATGGTTGTCCGTGATAGCAGTGGGACTTTGACTTTGACTTGGGATAATTGCCACCTACACCTTTATTTCTGTCACGAAAGCTGTCAAATTGCTTAGGAAGGGATGTCGAGGTTATTTGTGTTGTGTTTTAATTGAGACTTTCGATAAGCTTAATGTGGAAGCTATTCTCGTAATTAATGAATTTCTTGATGTGTTTCCAAATGAACTACTCGGTGATTTGATTGATAGAGAAATTAAATTTAATATTGATGTAGTACCTGGAACACAACCAATTTCTAAAACCCCATATAAAATGTCAACCTCTGAATTAAAAGAACTGAAGTCCAACTTCAAGAACTACTAGACAAGAAGTTTATCCGACCGAGTATTTCACCTTGGGGTACTCTAGTTCTATTTGTTAAAAAGAAAGATGGGTCCTTGAGGTTATGTATAGATTACTGGGAATTGAGCAGAGTAACTGTCAAGAATAAATATCCATTGCCCCGAATAGATGATTTGTTTGACCAACTCCAGGGAGCCCAAGTGTTTTCAAAGATAGATCTTAGATCTGAATACCATCAATTGAAGGTTAAGACATAAGATGTAGAGAAAATTGCCTTTTGAACTAGATATGGACATTATGAATTCCTACTAATGCCATTTGGAGTAACAAATGCACCTGTTGCCTTCATGGACCTAATGAATAGGGTGCTTAAACCATATCTAGATGAATTTGTTGTTGTATTTATTGATGATATTATGATTTAGTCCAAAAGCAGATAATATCACGAATATCATTTGAGAACCATATTACAGATTTTGAGAGAAAGGAAATTGTGTGCAGAACTCTCCAAACGTGAGTTCTGGCTTGACAGTGTGACCTTTCTAGGGCATGTAATCAACAAGGATGGCATATCGGTTGACCCGCAGAAAATTGAAGCTATTGTAAATTGGCCAAGACCAACAAATGTGTCCGAAGTTCTTTAGGGCTTGCAAGTTACTACCGCAAATTTGTAAAGGACTTCCCAAACTTGCTATGCCTTTGACACAGCTAACATAGAAAAATATGCCATTTGATTGGAAAAACCAAAGAGAATCTGCTTTCCAAGAGTTGAAGACCAGATTAGTGACTACACCAATTCTAACTCTGCCTAATGGTACAAATGGATTCCAGATGTATAGTGATGCTTCATACAAGGGTTTGGGGTGTGTGCTTATGCAAAATGGAAAAGTGATTGCCTATGTTTCTCACCAACTTCGATCTCGTGAAAAGAACTACCCAACTCATAACCTTGAACTAGCCGTTGTGGTATTTGCTTTGAAAATTTGGAGACACTATCTGTATGGTGTGACTTGCGAAGTTTACTCTGATCATAAAAGCCTCAAATATTTCTTTACTCAAAAGGAAGTGAACATAAGACAGAGACGAGTCTTGAGTTGATAAAAGACTTTGACTTGCAAATTCTGTATCATTTGGGAAAGGCAAATACTATTGTAGATGCATTGAGTAGGAAGTCAATTGGGAATTTGTCATGTTTGCTCACCGGTTAGAAAGAGTTGCTGTGTGACTTGGAGCGGAATGAAATTGAAATTGTGTTGCGTGAACATGGTGGAATTGTAGCTGCTATATCTGCCCAGTCTACAATTATCGAAGAAATTAGAGAGAAACAATTGCAAGATGAGTTCTTGAAAATGATTGTTAATGATATTGACACAAAACCAAGACCAGGGTTCGTAATTGAGAAGAATGTATTGATGTTTCATAATAGGCTTTGTGTACCAGATTGTTCAGAATTAAGAAAGCGTGTTATGACCAAGGCTTATAGTTTAAAATTTGCCATGCATCTTGGAAATGCAAAAATGTACAAAGATTTGAAACAGAACTTTTGGTGGCTTGGAATGAAGAGATGTATTGCTGATTTCATGGCTAGATGTTTGCATTGCCAGCAAGTAAAGGCTGAACATCAATGACCCGTTGGACTACTTCAACCGCTTCCAATACCGGAATGGAAATGAGAGCATATCACGATGGACTTCATTGTTGGACTGCCTCGCTCCTCCTGAGATATGGATTTTATTTGGGTCATAGTTGATCGTTTGACTAAATTTGCTCACTTTTTACTTGTTAAAACTTTTTATAATGCGGATAAATTAGCTAACATATATGTAAATGAGATTGTGAGACTACACGAGGTGCCAATATCCATTGTATCTGACAGGGATTCCAAATTCACTTCAAGATTTTGGCAAAGTTTGTAATAGGCTTTGGGAACTGAATTGAGACTGAGTAGTGCTTATCACCCACAGACAGATGGCTAATCTGAACGAACCATTCAAACCTTGGAAGATATGCTCAGAATGTGTGTGTTAGATTTCCAAGGAAATTGGGAGACCTACTTGCCATTGGCTGAATTTGTGTACAACAATAGTTATTATTCGAGTATCGGTATGGCTCCTTATGAAGCTTTGTATGGTAGAAAATGCCATTCTCCAGTCTATGGGGCCGAGGTAGGTAATAGACCTTTGTTGGGACCGGAACTTGTGTAAGAAAAGACTTAAAACGTGAAATTAATTCAACAAAGGTTGAAAACTGCACAAAGTCGCCAAAAGAGTTATGTGGATGTCCAAAGAAGAGACAGAGAATATGAAGTTGTGGATCATGTTTATCAAAGTAATTCTTATGAAAGGGAAAACACGATTTGGAGTGAAAGGAAAGTTGGCTCCGAAATACATTGGTCCGTATGAGATTCTAGAGAAAATCAATTCAGCAACATACCGAGTGGCCTTACTTCCGGTTATGAAGCAAATGCATAATGTCTTTCATATTTCAATGCTTCGAGATATCTTGAGAGATCTTTTACACGTGATTGAGCCAACACATGTGTTGCCAAAAGATGATTTTACTTATGAAGAACGATCGATTCAGATTGTCAATTAAAGGATCAAAAGGCTAAGAAACAAAGAAATTCCATTGGTGAAAGTTGATTGGCAAAACCAAGGAGGAACATATGCAACTTGGGAAACTGAGGAAGATATGATGAGAAGATACCTTGATTTGTTCCCTTTAGATCATGTATTCTTCCAAACTGAAGGTAATTCGAGTTTAAGGGACCAAACTCTTTAAGAGGGGAAGACTGTAACAGCCTCGATCTGTTATTAACTAATACTACATGATTAAGAATGCCTAATGAGAAATTAAGATGAAATCTCGAGTTAATTGCATGTGTTATATGATATTTGTGTTTATATCTATTTGCCGTAGAAATATTTGTCTGTGCTTCTGTTTTGTTCTGCAAATTGAAGGCCTAATTGGCCACAGAATATGAAATTGACTAAGATTATGTGTTATTTAGGATTTTTAGAGAATTATGATAGTTTCAATTGAAATTTGATTCGGAACGAAATTATTAGAATAAAATAAGGCAAATTAATTAACTTAAGCCAATAGTTAATTATAAGTTCTTTAATTAGCCTATATAAGGCTTGCACAACACTTTAGAATCATCTCATCTTCAACATTTTGAGCTCTTACACGTGAGAGAGAAAGAGAGAAGGAAGGCATTGAGATCAAAGAAAGGGAAAGGGAGAATTGGTGGGATTTGAAGACAATTTGGAGCTTTGAATTAATTTTTACACTTGATTTCAACCTTATGTAAGAATTAAACTCACATTTTGTAACCTCATGCTCATTTACATGTGAAATCAAAAGGGAATTAGAGTGTAATGCATGAGCTCAAGAGAATTAAGTAGATTAACTTTAGAATTAAGCTAAAGAAGTATAATTGGGATCAAACCATGCATGCAAGTGCATATCATGAAGTTTTGGAAGTTGATTTCAAAGTTTTCCTAAATGCATGTTCATATTTTGGTCTTGTAATGAGAATTCAACTCCTTGTACTAAGCATCTCATTCTACCAAGATTTGGAAAGTTTGAACTCAAGAAAATACATGCATGTTATGTTTTCAACATTTCAAGTTTAGTTTTGTTCAATTAGCAAAGCTTTTGGGCTTGATTTTCCGAAATGGTTTTTAATTCATCATATATTATGAGTTTCTCAATGGTTTACTAGTTTTGGCCTAAAAGGATGTGTTTTGAAGCTTTGAAATTGAGTTTTGAACTTGGGAAGCAAATTTGAAAATTCTAGAATTTGCACTCTCTGCTAGAGCAGTGGAGTTTGTGCTTGAGCGAAGAATTCGAGCTCCCAGTACTTTTGCAGAGTTTGGGGGTTAGCTCGAGTGGCAGAACCTGCGCTTTAGCGACCACCCTTATATTTGTACCTCCGCTCAAGCGAAGAAGTCTAAGCTTAAGCGTAAAATGAGAGCTCCAAAAAGTTTTACAGACTTTACAGATTGCTCGAGCGACCAAGTTTGTGCTAAAACGGAGACCCTGTTTACTCAGTCTTTGGCTCGAGTGACCATTGAGCATCCGTCGAGCGTAAAAATCATGCAACCAGTACTTTTGCAGATTTTGCAGGACGCTCCAGTGATTAATGTTGCGCTCGAGTGGACTACCCTGTTTTTGAATGTTTGACTAGGTGTTTCAAGTTAGATTATGGAATTCTCATTGCATCCTAGGCATTTCTATGCCTTAATTAAGACATAATAATGAGGATAAATATTAGAAACACACCAAGTTAAAAAAGGAATGAGTTATGCGTTTTTCCGGGCGTGTGTTTCAATGTGCATTTGTTATGTGTTTGTGTAGGTCACGTGCCATAGATTGTTTGACCCGACTGTTCTGACTCTTCTGTTATTGGAGCTATCTGTGAGTGACAACTTCGTAAAGCTACATTTGATTATAAGTAATTTCTGGATGTTAAGATATGATCTGTTTTCTGAAATGCTATTTTGTGAATCATGATTGAATGACCAATTTTCTAAAATGTATTTGTGGTATCTTTAGTTCACATGGCCCTCGCCCGGGGGAAACAATACCGTGACTTATGTTTATATGGCCCTCGCTTGGGGGAAACAATACCGTGGCTTATGTTTATATGTCCTTTGCCCGGTGGAAACAATACCATGGCTTATGTTTATATGGCCCTCGCCCGGGGAAAACAATACCGTAGCTTATGATCATATGCCCCTTACCCAAGGGAAACAATACTGTGATTTATGTTCATATGGCCCTTGCCTGGGAGAAACAATACCATTGCTACTTGTGCACAAGATATAGACCTTTAGGGTCGCCGGTGCCGACTATGCATGTGGGTCTCAAGACCAATTTGATATGATAGCTAATGAATGTACCACGTATAATTGCTTATGACTTCTAATAAGTCCATTGAAGCTTCACTCTAAGCTTTTTGTTGAGGATCTTAAACATTCTAAGCTACATCTAAAGGACCTTGAGGGTACCAAGTAAGAGTTTTGGAGCCAAGAAGTTCATCCTCTTTAAGAGGTGAAACTTTTGAAAATTTTTTTTATCACTTTATCTCTCTTGTTCTTCATTTCTAAGCTCTGTTTTTCATTGTTTACTTGTTGTAATCATGTGATAAGTCCTCATGGATGTGGATGGAGGTAGAAAGTAGCCACTCATCCATTGAGCTAATAGTTTTCATTACTTTTCTATAGCTTTGCTCTCTTTTCATTCTTTCTAGAGTTATAATCCATTGTTGTTGTATATATTGGAACCTTGTGGATGTGGAGGGAAGTGGATGGTAGCCACCCATCCACAAGTTTGATTATATAGAGCAAATTCTTTTTTTCTTTTTTCTTTTCCATATTTTCTCATCACATATCTCATCATTCTACTATATTGGCCCATATGTTCCAACCTATGCTCAATCTAAATAAGTAGAGGTGGTTGTTTCATGGGGCTAGGTGAATGATCTTTGAGATTTGATGTTGAGAAAGTTGTTGTTTTCCATATTCATTGATTTTTCTTGGAAGTAAAGTAAGAGATTTTGGGTCAAAGATGGTGAAAATTTCATTCTCAATCATTTGTGAACATGGAAAGAGATGAAAACATCATTGTTCCATGAATAGAAGAAGAGTCTTCAATAGCCTTTGATGAATATTTTACTTTAGAGGTAAAACTTCCACTAAGAAATGATGGGCATTAACCTACTCTCTTTAATTAATAGCATGGATGTGGGTACTAACTTACCCTTATTCACAAAGATATGATTGTAGGTTCCCATCTATTTCTTGGACTTGAATTTCTTCTTGTTTAATTCATTTAATTTGATGAATTGTTGTAGAATATCTATTGTATGTAGTCATTCGTGTGATTGTTAAGGGTTGAAGCCTATCTACCTCATCCTTAACTGTTTTCTGCAAGAGAGAGAGCTAGAAAGGATGAGCACCCCTTAGAAAATGTGCTTTGTTTCTGTTCTGGACCTTTTGCACCAAACAAAGTTTTCCCCAGAGGATATGTTCAGGCGGACATCTTTTTAGTTGGCCAAATGAATTTGTGTGTGACCAGATGATTTTTCTAGAGCGGGACATGACAATTTCTAAGGAGTGTTCTCATGAGCATTTTGGAGCTGTTGTGTAAACTTCATTGTTTATTTTAGTATGATTTGTTAGATCGAACATTAATTTGGGCTGAATCAGGTTTTTGTTGTAAGAACTTCCAACCCCACGCCTTTTACCCCTTTCACTTACATGTTTTCCATATGGTTATAAAGCATCATGTTTTATTTATCATATTCATGATTTACATCCATTTTTCATGCATATGGATTCGATTAATTTGCATTTGTGAAATTCATCATTTTCTAAACTGATTATGTGTGTTACCCTATGCCTTGAGATGATACACGTCATATATTAGTAGCCGAACCTCTAGATGCATTTTGTTATGTGTTGCATTAGCTATTTGTATATAAGACCATGCATATATTTCTAAACCATTCTTTTGGCTTATCATGGAGTACTAGGAAAGCATTTTTTGGTTTTAGCATCTTGTATGTCCATGTTATATCCATTGCCATACCATGAGGCTAGACGCTTAAGTGAAATATCTA